AAACTTCTTTTCATCTCATAAAAGGAATTTTTAATGCAGGTCCTCAGGTTGATAAGACTTCCTTAGTGTAAATGCCTTCACATTTTTCCTGTCTGGCTGCTTCTAACAGTCTTCTTTTTTGCCCATTAAGTTTTGCATGATTGGATGGAAACATTGAGTTGTATCGAGTCACGTCTCTTTTCTCCTGTTAAGTGAGCTATAAGTTCAATATTCAGAGTCTATATTCTGTTGTGCACGTAGATGAGTTTTATATCTACTGCTGCTGCACTTATTTCATGCTCATGGTGCAAAGTTCCCCATCTCCCCTTTCCTTTCTGCTTTCTCAATCTCTGTAATCAAACGCATTAATATCAATATTGCATGAGGAAACGAGCAGAATTTAAAGCTTGACCATGTCAAAGTGAGAGTCCCTGATAGCTGGTGACTGCCATCACTCAGTGGAAATTGTGGCTGTAATTACTGGAGCCTTGCATTTGGTTAATATCTAGAGTGGAAGACATTTTTCACGGGGTTAAAAGTTTGATATGGGGAAATAGATTCATGACCAATCAATCTAAACTTTAAAAAATACATTCAGTCACATTAATCTACAGATGAAGAGTGCTTTCTCATTATCCATTTCATACTTGATTAATCTCCTTTTGTTTAACTCTGTTCTTATATTGAATGTGGCAACGCTAATGTTGCATTTTAGCACCTTAGCCTGAGGAATGCGTCTGACTTGCTTTTCACTCAATGATTAAACTCTGTAGCTGCAGTTTGATAGATTGCTGCTTAGAAAATTATAAAAAAATTTCCTATAACTCCAGCCAGCCTTTAGTTTTTTTGTTTTTTGTTAAGTCGGTTACTTAAAGATGTTTTGCAGTTATGAGCAATTTCATTTATTTAATGGCTTTTCTGATTTTGTGATGCAACACTGTCCATTTTCAGGTTGCGGTGGGATTTCAAGTGATTTTTTGATTGTCTTGGCTATCATAAAGCAACCTATCGCTATTGGATTATCTCTAAAAAGGAAAGCTGTCTTCCCAGTGAAGCTGTAATCTGTATAGGTTGAGTGTTAGTTGTTTGCCTGAGATAAATGCGGCAGCAGATCAGTTTTTGTCAGGGTTTACCAGAATGCCAAATACCTATAATGCTCTACCACATTCAATAGAAACGTTGATCCTAAGCCTATAACTCCATCTGTTGTAACTCCACCAGCTTTCTGTTATTGAGGTGATTGATATTTACAATTTTATTTTGGGGGTTTTAAGGTTCTTAATGGTCTGACCCGTCCTTACCAGATCATTTACACCATGAACCTTCAGCTACGGAATGTAACATTCAGACAAGCAAATGCTTTTAAAGGTTTCAAGATCAAAATGATGGTTATCACTTTTATTTATATAGAATGGTCTGCCTTTCTATATAAAAACTGCCAAGAGCTTCCAGACTTTTGGAGTGCTTTCAAGGAGTCTCTCTCTCTGTCTGTCTATCTCTCTATTACTTTCTCTATTGCTCTCTTTGCATTAGCTGCTCACTTGGTATACATTTGTTCATACCAGATCAACCAAAACAGACTTAAGGTGGATGCCTGTACAGGTTATTTTAATTTCAGTCTAACAGAATATGTGCTGCATATTTTTTTTCTGGGCCAATTTTTTTTAATTTTTAGTCCTCCATTTATATGATATTATTACATAATAATAAATGCTACACATGACTTAATTTAAACAAAAAAAGAAACATTTCTTATCAATTCAAACATCCCAATAACAATGGATAACAAATGGATGTAGCCGCAAAGAATGTGCTTAAGCTGATCTCTAGGCATGGATTCTAAATTCAGCATTAAATCAGCATAAACACATGCATAAACACATGCATCTATCAGCCGATACTGATAAAAAAAAAAAACAACAATGATTGTTTACACTATATCAGCTCAAAATATCGCTCGGTCAATGTATCGGTCTACCTCTAGTTCATACTTGTAATTTCTGTTGCTTCTAAATTATCTAAAAACTGCTTCAGTGACAATTAAAGTTTATAAATATAGAGATTGGGCTGAAGATCACCCCATAATTAAACAGTAATTTCCTTTCTTTTTAAATTGTTTTTAATTCGGATATTTCAAGAGGATGCAATAGAGCTTTAATTATAGCACCATAAAAATCTTTTATTTTTGCTTAAGGTTATTGTGCTATGAAAACCATACTGGCCCATGCTTACATACAAGAAGCTCAAGGAAATTGAAGTTCTACTTTGCTTTTGATAGCAGTTATTTGTAAAATCTCAACATAGATACAATATAACGTAAACATTTTTCACCCAATCTCTGTTCTTTGTCTTCTGTTTAGATTTCAGAGAAGGAAAGCATCTTTGAGCATTGTATGCTCAAAGCAGGGTTAAACTACAGCCCACACATGGCCTTAGGTTATGAATGTTGAGGCTGCTAAACAACAATAGTTGTAATTGTGTTGCACAGTTTATATAGCAACCACAGGTGAGAATGGCCCTGCCCTGAGGGGGAGACTATAAATCATAACCTTGGCATCTTGTGAGCAAAGATGTAGTAATTCCCTACAGGCATACGCAATTCCCTCTACCTACAGCAGTGTTTGCAGGCAGAACAATAGGGGCATCATTTCGTAAGACCCTTAGACGGTTTGATACTCCCGTATTCTCTTTATGAATGTTTCTGTGCTATCCTCCAGTGACATCACCTGCACTCCAGGCGAAGAAACAGAAAAGCAAAACACAGAAAAGAGCCCACACATGTTGGTCGTGTGTGTAGTATTGTAAGTGAAAGATGAGCAGAGCTTCTGAATAACACCCACTCCTTGTTGGCATGATTTGCCTTAAAAGATCTATTGTTGGTTTTCTTTGTCTCCCCCCCCCCCACCATTGCAGTTTTACAAGTGCACCCATGTCTTGTGTTATCAAGTTGCTCTGTTTAGATTGCATATGTGAAAAGAGAGTGCTTGCAGGTGAATGGAGTTTCTGCTGTTGTTTGGTCTCACTGTATGTTTTGTGGTTTCATCTTCAGTGTGCCTGCAGCTGCATGCTGCTTTGTATTTGTGCAGGTTAAATAGAGGGTGGGTCATAAGCTGTGAAGGTGGGTGGGTTGGGCACTTTCATGCGTGCTGTCTGAGGTGTTTGGTTGCAATGTGATTTAGATCAGGTTTTCTGCTATTTGGAAGAACCCCCTTAAAAAATTAAGATAAAAAAAGATAGAGGTCAGAAAAAAAACAGCTACAATATTTTCATAAAGTTTTTTGTCCATTTATTATCTTTAACCTTATCACAGATATTAAGTATATTCATTAAATACCTGAAAAATGTTGGATTCTGGCTAAGTGAATTCTTCAACATTCTATTCTAGATCAGTGTGGCTGCAAGCTATGCAAATGCTAAATGTTAACAGTTTCTTTGTTTCTTTGTGTTTCCTTACTGTTATCTGCTAAAAGTCTTGTTCTCTCTCACAGCTCAAATAAGTTTTATTTTAAACTGTTTCTCACACATTTTGCACTTCTGATTTCATTTTGAACTTCATAAAATTTTAGTCTTTGTAGCAACTTCTCACCGAAGAGTGTTGAGGTTTGTGATTGGGTAGGACCATATAGGGGCGGAACAAATCATTTGTTTTGCAAGCTTCCAGTTGTTAGCCTTTTATGGTCTCTGTTCCATGTCCAAGTTCTTGTAAAAAGTCAAAAGTTAAATGTGCTTCTGATAACTGTGATATATTTGTCATTTTTACCGTTTGTATCCTATTATCGAAGAGTTTTTTTGTTAATTACCCGCCTTTGATGGGGACTTTGAATGACAGGTAGAAATTGACAAAGTGATGTTAACATTTATGCCGATTTACAGCAAAGCTCAACCAATGTTATACATGTTCCAAACCACACCAAGTAAAATGCAGTCAGAGAAAATATAACTGTCTTGTTGGTTAAGATGTTTCAACCCGCACTGACAAAACAGCAGCTTTACCCACTGGGTTGTCATTGTATAAATTGCACATTACTTTTTTATACTAAAGCTCTGTACCACTCCATGTGCAAAAAAGCATTTCTTCCTGAGAGTCAGCCTCACTCTTCATTGAGTCACAGTTGACGAGTACCACTTTGCTACTCTTCATCCTGTGTGCAGCTACAATGCTGAAAGAGACTTTCCTACTTTAGTCATTAATAGCATATATCATTTTTATAAATCGTCCCCCATACAGCATTTTTAAAAGTGCCTAATATTCTTTTAACAGGGATCTCGTAGAACTGAATGAAAGAATTTGTCATTAAAGGGTTTACATAACTAATAGGTTGCCCTGTGATGCGTCAGCCTTATCAACGCGAAAACTCTTTGGGGAGGTTTTGACCCCAATCCTCATTTGTATTGAGTGATTATTGGCATTTTGACCAAAGCAGATAGACTTTGCCTGGAATGTTACTAAATACTTGTGTGATTGGATAAGCACATATTGACAGGATTGGGTAATTGAAACTGTGAAAAAGACAGGACAATGAATGACCTGCTGATAAAAGAAGACACTTGTTGGAAAATGTAAAGGTCAAAGGTTTGTGTAATGTGCCATTTTTGCTTACTGTGTCACTGACATCTTTTGACCTCACTACCAATTATCTGTCAGTAACATTGAAGGGCTGGGACCAGCGTTTCACATTGTTATGTTCTGTTGGTGTGTAGTTCTCTCAGGTCAAACTTGTATTTTTAACTCCCATGGCTTGAGTGAAATAGCCTTTAGATGTTACAGAATTATGCATATTGCTAAGCAAACGGTTTCAGCTTGTTGTTCCAAGAGTTCAATACTTCTAGATTTCTTAATGAAATGCTCCTGACATATTTTAATGGGAAGACAGTGGGGTTTCTGTATTATAAATTTCATATAGAAATGAAACTTCTTTTTAAACCTCAGTTCTAGAACCTACGTTAATCATAACTTGGGGTTCACGCTCCATTTATTGGTTGAAGTTTGACTAACTTTGTCTTTCCGTTTCTTTTTCTAGAGTGCCAAGCAGTTCTGCACAAAGACCTCAAACTTCCCTGCTCAGTTGGGGCTTCGGCTCCCTGGCCAGGTCATTAATTCATCCCACCCTGCATCCCCCAGCCCCATATCCCCCACCGTAGCTGCCGCCAAGATGGCCACCAGTGGTGCTCCTCGTCTCTCCTTGCCAATGTTACTTCATGTGACCATTCTGCTGCTATCTCTGCTGCTCACCTGCTCTCAAGCCTCATGTGAGTATGAGATTCAAGTATTTTACTTTTGTTTGCCTGGTATGCTGTCTGCAATGACTACCATTCTACTGCATTAGTGGTTAGAAAAAGAAGGACTGAAGTAAATGCAAGCATATTTGTGAGAAAAATGTAAAAGATTTGCTATGGTGAAAAACAAAAAGTTTGTTTTCATGAGCAGAGCTATATTATGTGTTTCAATAAGAAGAGGAAAAGTAAAGCAATGTTTTTACAAGACGTGAAAAAATTTCAAATTTAACTGTATTTGGATATGAGGGTGACGGTTCCCAATTAGGACTATTTATCTTGCAATCCAAAAAACGTGGGATTGATTCTAGCTTCCTGCCACATGTTAGTCACTTGCCTTCCAATCTACATTATTGGTGTGTGAATATTTACATATTATTTAATGTGATAAGTGAGATGCTGCACTTTATGAAAGGGAAATGTTTATTTCACTGCTAAGCTGCTGCTCATTCACTGTCAGTAAGCTGTATGTAACAAAATTGTTTTGTATACACTCTGTGTATACTCTGTGTTTGTCTAAGTCTAATTGATTGGGTAAACGTGGCAGTGGAACAATGTGTTGTGCGTCGTTAGTATGACTAGAAAACTGCAGTGTAAATTAACTCCACTGTTAAGGAAAACTATATTTGCTTAATAAGGTTGACCAAAAACAGCAGAGAACAACAGGTTATCTGTATGTATGACATCAGAAAATTATGGACAAATCTTTTTTTTAACTACTCCCAATCATAAATCTGATGCATAACAAAAATCAAAAGCTAGTATAATATGAACTTGTAGAGTGAAAAACTCTCAAGGTTAAAAGAAACCAGAAATGGTTAGAATGAAAGATGCAATTAAGTCAATTTCAAAAGTGAAGAGAGTATCCTTCAGTGTTCTTCAAGAGACTCAAGTGTGGCATCAGCCAGCTGTCAACTTGTGCCAGAAAACGTTTGTTCTCTCCTTTGCTCCATGGTAAAGTACTTTAGCACTGTGTGAGTGGCCATTGTTCTGCATCACCAGTACCCTAAGTAACAAATAGCTTTGGCACAAATAAATTAAAAGTACATTGCAAAACAACTGTGAAAATAAATAGAATAATTCAAACTAAATGTTGACAGGATGGTAAAGTAATACTGTCTGTTTTAATTTCCATTTCATTTTGTTATGAGTTTGTCTCATCCCCATTTCCTTATTCCAGGCTTGAATTAATTTAGTTACGAAACAAAAGATATTATTAGAAGAGGCATAATTCCCTAATGCATAGTTCTTTTCATAGACACCTTTTTTCACAAAGGTTGCTTTGTGTTTTCATTATACAACTGGCCCATAGTGTGTACCCTGTTAGCATATGGTCATTAAATTAATATTCTATTCTCCTAGAAGCTAAGAATTGCAATTAAAGGACTTTATCTATGTTCGCTTCAGAAAAAGAAAGTAACTGCACCACACAGTATGATGAGGTCAGTAGTAGGGGTGTAAATCACATCCATCATGGCCATTCGATTCAGTATCGATTTCCTGACCCAACGATTCGATTATTTTAGATACTCAAGAATACACCACGATATGATTTGATTCATTGGTTCATTTTTTTTTTTACACCTTATAGGCTAGAAAATGTTTAAAATTTGAAATAAATCAGTTAAAGCTGTAATATCGTTATGCATTTTTTTTTTAGAAACAACAGCAAATAACAGAAGTAGAAAAGTTGTACCCCACCTATTCCTATTAAAACCTTATTCAATGAAAAATAATAATGCCCCAGCGTTATAGATTCTTAGAGGCTTTGCATCAAAAAATACTGCACAAAATCAGTGCAATGAGTCCAATTTAATACCTCGGCTCCATACGTCCGCTCCCCCTCCACAGACGCTCCGCTGTCACTCTCCCAAATTGTAGCGGACCGCAGACAGTGCCGCAGACAGGAGGCCGGCTTGTTTTGTTTTTATAACCGAAATTGCGGACAACAACTCATGAAGTTGGACCCACTTGAAGAGCGAGGTGCGCGAGAACGCTGGGACCCTTTTTCCACCTGGATCTCCACTCTTTTTGGTCGTCATGTCCCTCCGTCGTCGGACTAAACTCGCCTCCACTTCCTCACCGTCTTGGCCGTATCTAGAGCATAAATCAAAAATGTCTGTGTCAAACTTACTGCAACACACTGCTGTAAGAGTATAACCAGGAAGCGAGGTAGGAGGGCAAAATAGGTTTAGCGCCACCACAGCAGGGGAGTGAGAATTACGTCCAGGAGCAAATGGATAAAAATAGACCGGAGGAGAAAAAAAAACATGCATCGATACTCTTGCGGACGTATTGATGCATCAGATCGTTGGCTGTTGGATGGATCGATGCATTGATACAAAATGATTATTTTTTACACCCCTAGTCATGATCACAGCGACGTCTGTATCTATATTGTAGAGGTCTACTCAGAATATTTTGTTGTATCTTAAATACAATTTAAAATCGTCTATCGATGAGTAAAAATCAGAGGCATTAACCGTAAATTGAATTCAACACCGTGAATTCATACTGAACATTTTTAGTAAAGCCCTTTTATCTAACAAATACAGCATCGTTTTAAAGCTCCATACATGCTGAATCCAAAGTTTACTGCACAAATGTTAAGACATACAAACCAATTTGGTTCGTTAAGATAAGCAGATCAGGTTTTCTGTGGGCCGTTTGACAGTGGCTTTAAAAATACGACAAGTTTTGAATCCAGTGGAGGTAATATTAATAATTTTTAACATATTATTGTTATTCATAATTACTATCATTGCCTATCTTAAAGTGCTGCAAACAAAATTAAAATAAAATAAAAGATAGCCATTTTTCATGAGTTGTTTTATTATGCAAAGAGATCTACACTTTCATGGACTCTTTGCAGGCTCTTTTGATACTCTGTTTTTTTGTTTGTTTTTTATTAACATACCACAAAATTTAAGTTCAAGATTTTTATATTTTTTCCATTATGGTTTAGTTATTATTATTTTTTTATGATGGTTTAATATATAGACATGCACACAGAATATTTTTCCATCCTCTGTCATTGTACCAATGCCTCTTATGGGGGAAAAATGACAGCAGATATTTTGTCTTGTCAGTTTGCATTGAATTTTACAAAGTATTCAAAAAGATACCAAAGCTGCACCACAGTTGCCTTTCCCATTTGAAAAATTGCTTTGCACATGGTACATCTTCACATTTGCATATCCTCCACCCTTAAGTTTGCACAGTTTGGTCATTAGAATATGATCTGCATATTGATGAAGGCACACAAGCAAAAAATGGTTTGAACACACTGTGTGCTGAATTACAAACGCAAATCACTTTGCACCTGCTTTGCAGAAATGCTCTGTGTGCACAAACACTTTTGCACCTGTTTTAAAACATGCAGACCTTCTGAAGATCAGGCCCTAATACTTGAAAGGAGAATTCTGCTTTGAACTTATATTTTCATATCCTCTTTACACCTCTAGTCACCATTTAAAAGGACTGTAGTATTAGAGAATTTGGGTTAAAAAATTATTATTTGGAATATCCCCTCTGCAAATGATGTCATTTCACAGACTTATCCTCCCTAACTTCTCATGTTTGCAACAAGGATGCATCAGTAGTCTTTTATCCCATCCTGTCAACTCATGCTTAGGATTTGTTCTGCACCATTTCCCTGTTAAGATGAGCTCAGAGCAGCATTAAGGAGACAAAACAAAGATGAGACTCCACAGAGAAATATTTCAAAACATGGAGGTTCCCC